CACGCAGTTGTCGGAGGGCAGCGCGCGCGACGCCGCCGCCAGCGGCACCCCCAGCTCCCGCCGCAGGTACCGCAGCACCTGCGCCAGCTCCTCTGCCCTCAGGTCGGCAAACACCAGGCTCCGCTCATCGGCGACGGCCTCATCCTCATCTTCCTCCTGCTGCTGCTGTGGGCAGAGGCCGGGCGCCCGCTCGCGGGTGAGCAGCACGCAGAGCAGCGCGAAGACGGTGGCCAGGGCCAGCACCAGGAGCACCAGGACGGTCTTCACGTTCATGGCTGCTGCTGCAGATGTTGAGGCTTTTTTTGAGCTTCCAGAGCAGGGTTGCTGCCTCTATCCGTTTATGCTGCACTGGACAGATTAGCACAGAGAGTACAAAGGACTGGGAGAGGCTAGGGGAGGAGATCTGAAATTCGTGGTGACCAGAAAGGGCAGCTCTCCGCTCTCAGCTGCAGAGCGCTCCGTCTCCCTCCAAGAACAGTTCCCTGAAAGAGCTAGTGGAGATGCAGGGTGACTCAGACAAACTTTGCATCGTTCTGTTACTTTTTCAGTCCAACCCGACTTCCTGAGGCTGCCTGTAAAAACGAAGCCCGTGCAGGCAGCCTGAGGTGGCTGTGACCATTGCAGAGCTCCCGCGAGCCCAGAACTGCTGCCACGCTGTAGAATTTACCTCTCTGCAACTCACCGGGTTTCCTTGTTTATCAGGCTGCTTCCTTGTAAACACTCTCCCTGGCAGCATCATTTCAAGCCAGTTAAGAGTTGTTATTTTTTAATCTTCCATGTGGAAGGCTTTGCTGAAAACACATCCATCTGTGTAGTAGCAGAAAAACTTTGGCAGGCATGGAGAGATGTAGTTTGGGATGAGATTCAGGCCCCACTGCACAGTGAACAATTAGCTCTTAGTTTGCACCTCTGACTAGCTATTAACCAATTAGTCTCCCCAAAACTCTACTGAAACGGGACCAAGCAGGTCCTCGAGGAGCAGGACGAACACCCCAATCCCTGCTCTGCCTTTGGCATCCAGGCAGGGATGCGACGGCAGTGCCAGGTGTCCCCACGCTGTCCCCGTGCCCTGCGCTGAGCTGCCACGGCCAGGATTCCTACCAGCCAAAGGCCATGGAAATTGTCCTCGGCCACTGTCCCCGGTGAGGTCTCCTCCCTGGTTTCACAGCACTCCTGAAAGGGCCGAGCGAGGGCCAGGCAGAGGGGCCAGTGCCCTGCGCTGCCGCAGGGAGATGCTTGTGGACAGGACACACAGCCCTAGGCACAGCCCCTGCCTGTCCCCGGCACAAGGAACACAGGAGGAGCGGAGCAGGAGCTTCCACACAGCATTTCCACTCGTGCTGCCAGCCTCACCTCGCCTCACCCTGCCTTCCCGTCCTCCTCCAGCAGAGTTTCCACGCAGCCCGTTGTCCTCGCCAGGGCAGACAGGAGCAGGGCAGGCGCGTTCGTGCCAGCCAGGCCCTGCGGAACACAACGGTCAGGGCCCCAGCACGACGAGAGGGCGATTAAGATGTCTCCGAATACCCCTAAACCAAGCGAGGAAGCTCTGACTTGCAAGCCAGGCCCCCAGCTCACTCGGAGCGAGGCCAGAGAGCCAAATTCCCCCTCGGCACAACCTGGCACCAGGCATCCCACCTTGGAAACAGCACGAAGGGAAGGGGCAGTACTGCCAGCAGCCTGGCAGGGTGTTTCTGCTGCCCCCAACCTTTAACCAGCCTCCTGCTGCAGCGTGGCCAGGCCCGCACGCACCACGGCCACGCTCAAGCTCTTTAAAGGGAATTTTTATACCTTTAGGGCACAAAACAGCAGCTCCTTCAGTTTTGACTGTTCCTCCAAACTTTGCCTTTTAGTCTTATGTCACAAACCCCTAACAGTCAAGGCACAGGCTGCAATTAGAGAAGATCTTTTTCTGAGCAGTATGACAGCGGTTTAAGGGAGCTGGATAAACTCCACAGGCCTTACTGCCCCACAAACGGTGACTCAGCCCCACAACTTGCCTGCGAGATGTCTCAAAATAAAGAACGGGAACATTTTTATTTCTGTGCATGTCTGGTGTTTGAAACAGGGATGTCATTATAGATTAGGGTTTATGTTTTCCTTCTGTGACAAACAAACCCACAGCACACACCCCACGTCTTCAGGATATATCTGGTGCAAATGAAGCTCTTTGTGCTGCCTCTTTGCGCAGCTCATTACAGGGTAGGAGCCATGGATGTCATGATTAATGCCAACATACTATTTAATATCATCTACTTCTGTTGAACTTTTAAAACTGAAGACTTTTAAAGCGTATTACCAGCAGCACAAAAATCAACCTGCCTCCTATGGGAGCTCTGTTTCACAATGAACAGAGACACCCTAAATACATCCCCATCTCGCAGCAGAAATTTCAAGCAGCACAAATGAGCTTACTGAGTTGGGAAACCTGTGCCAACACCTTGATGTTGAAGAGCAGCCAGGGCTCTTTAAGGGCCACTGAACTGTTCACCTACCCCCTCGGAAAGACACGACCTGAAGCGGCTTAGAGCTAACCTTGAATTTTAAATCGACATGTCTCACACACAGCAGCATAACTGAGGATGTTTGGTGCACATTCCTCTTCCCACACCTCGTCCCACCAATCTGATTAACCCAGGACTTGTCTCACACCTAAACACGAAGAGTTCACATCCTACAGACGTTTATTTTGGCTACACAGTTGCTTTTAGGCCCTGCCCATCCATACTTCTCATACTCAGTAAATTGCCCACATCTCCCAAACAGGACAGGGAAGGGAGGCGTTTGCTGCCCTTTGCTCACACAGAAAGGTAGAAATGGCAAAAATAGTCTCTAAAATTTATAGGAAACAAAAATGAAGTCAGACATCCTGCAGCTGAGGGAAACTTGGAGTCAAGTGACTGCCAAGCAGGCGGGTAAAGAGCTCAATACAGAGATCCCCTCACCAGCAGTGTTAGCATTGCCATGACTTAATCATACCCCAGACCACGTTCTCCGACTTTGGATAACTCCCACTCCCATTATCGCATCCCACGGTCACCTTGTGCAAGACAGAAGGGTGGAAACAGCTTGAGCTTTTTCCAGGCTGGCTGCGTTTCTGGCAGCGATTGTGTCTGCACCCAACCGCTGTGCCTTTATTTACCTCTGAAAAGCTTTAACGGTAACTGCACTTACGCTGCGACGCCTCAAGAACCTGAATTCAAGCTCTGGTGGCACCTTGCCACTTCTCCTGGAGAGCAAAGCAGAAAACACTGCACTGAGCGGAGGGGGAACACGACAGACACCAAACCCTTCCCCACCCCCATGGACAGGCCCTGCTCCCATCCAACACAACGGGCTGGGATGCTCCTCCTTCCTGCTGGCACAGGGCACCCGGGCATTTCATTCCCTCTGGCCGGAGCAGGGAGGTGGCCCTCATGCAGCACCGCGCTGGGACCTGCCAACAGCCACCCCAAGCTCTGGTCCCGGCTGTTTGAGCAGAGACCTGGTGTTCCAGCTCTATTCCTGCCTCCCTACAAGCAGCTCGGGCAGCAGCAGCTGCCCCTGCCCCAGGGAGCCCCACGAGCAGCCAGCCCTGCAGGACGTGCCTGGCCACCAGCTGCTGCTCCTGCTTCTCGGAGGTTTGGGATTTTAGGACGGACACAGGCAGGAGCCCAGGGCCCAGCCTGGATCACGGGCCCCACCTAGCGGCTCCCGGCTCTGCTGGGGAGAGGGAACTGGGCTTCCCAAGGAGCAGGCTTGGAGCGGGGCTGGAAAGCACCAGCTGGAGACACAGCTCTAGGGAACGAGCGTGCCGGACACGGGAGCAGCTCCCTGCCACCCAGGCTGGGATGTAACAGATGCGGATGGAAGTGGAATGAGAACAAGGACGTTCACCTGGGAATAGGCAAGGACAGCTGTGACCCAGGGGACAAAGGACAGGTCTGTATTTTCTCAGGCATCACATGCACGGAGGAACCAAGAGAGCAGGGGACCATGCACAGAGCGCCGCTGCTGACACCAGCTCGGCAGAGGCAGCAGCCCCGGAGCAGCTTCCAGCTCTGTCAGATGCAACATGCAAATCCCACCTGTTTGAACCCATTTTACAGAGAGGACCTCAGCCCAACACACTGGTGACAGCGGGAGAGACCACACGAGATGCCAACACCAACACACCACAGGGCATGCTAAAGGGAGGGAAACAACCTCCAAAGCAGCACACGGCCATTCCCAACACAGGCCAAGAGAGGAACTCGGACAACACAGGGAACGAGCAACTGGATGCCAGAAAGGCAGGACCAGGACATGAAAACTGCACAGCCTGTCCAAGAGCTCAGTATCACACACAAGGGTCTAGCTTAAAAGAATTCAAAGTACCTTATTTTAATTTCTTGACATGGTAAAAGTTTACATACTTTCATCTGGCAGAGAGCTGAACAAATTAAAAGGAATCGATACAAAGAAACACAAGGGGAAGTGCTGCTCCCAGACAGCAGCTAGAACGCAGTTGGTTTGTTACTGAATATTTATTAGCGGGAAGACTAAGAGTTGACTTACTACAAACAACAACAGAAGAGGCTATAGAAAGGGCCAAGGGCCCTCCACACTCTGGGCAAATCCCTGGGAAACCAGCAAGAGACAACATGGCTCTTCGATGGGGAAGCAGAAAGAACCAAAAAAAAAAAGGGAAAGAAAAAAAAAAGTTCATTCCATTTGTCACCGTATGTTACAATGAAGTTAACACAACTATTAAGGCTACTGCACAATAAGAATATACGGGTGTAACAGCGAGACCTGGGAAACAGCAAGGTTCCAGAAACAAATGATTTAGCATTCCCTGAATAAGGGACTTAAGTAGAAATACTATAAATAAGAAAATTTTGGAGTCTGCAGCGTTATGGGCCCATTTCCCACACACAAAAACTGACGCAACACAACCAGTCATTTCCAAAGGGGTTTGTAATGGACCATGAAACGTTCCAGAGGCTTGGAGGAGTCACCAGGCACACGAGTGCACCGTTTTGCAGGGGAAAGTCTACGAGGTTTGTGATGACACCAGGAGGCTTTGGCCACCCTCCCCTCCAAGGAGCAGCTGCTGCAGCTGCTCCCAGGCAGCAGGGAGCACAGCCAGGAGGTGGCAGGACACGGCCTGACCATGTGAGGAGACTACCAGGACTTTACTATCAGAGCCCTGTCCCCTCCCCGCTCTCAGCCCAGGCAAAAACATCTCACACTTAAGGGGCACCAGGACACTTGGTTTTACCCAAGAAAGTGGCTCTAGTCAAACAGCAAACAGGAGCAGAAGCCACCTGGGCTCCTGAGCAGCCAGAGCAGCAACCAGCCCTAGTTAAAAGCGCTGCCTCCCACTCTGCACCGATTCAGCTAAAATTCACAAGGTGGAGACGGACGGGACTGGCTCTGCTGAGCAAGAGGAGCCAGGGAAGGAGCGAGGCCCCCTCAGTGGCCCTGCAGCCCAGGAGGGGCAGGTTCCCCTGTCGTTACAGTCAGCGCAGGGCACGGGCAGAGGCATCGGGCACTGAGAAGAGCCGGCGTCTCAGCCGCTGCCCCAGCACCCGGGCTTGGCCTCGTGCTGCTGCCCCATTGCCAGGGACACCCACGAGCCAAGGGACAGGGCAGGACAAGGGCTTGGTCACTAGCAGAGCTCCTGCTCAGGTAGGAAGGAAGGCATGAAGGAATGTTCCTGCCTGGCTGGTGCTCTCGGCTCTGCAGTAGCCTCTAGGGCACCCCAGAGCAGCGAGGCCTTCTCGTTACCAGTTACTAGAGGGAGGGAGAGCTCCTGAGACCTGAACAAAACCAATCACAGAACTAGGTGAGAATTTCATTAGAGTTTAACTAAGAGTGTGATACTATTTCCAGCCAGTTTCCCATCTCGATAGTCACGTAACAAACCAAGGCAATGACGGTCTTTAGTTGACTGAACAGTTCTCAAGTTCAAACGTTGACACTTAATAGAGGGTCTCAGCATTGCTGCTCCGAGGCCTCTTGATCTTCTCAATGTTTTTAAGGATCATGTCATGCAAAGTGACCTGTAAAAAAGGAGAGCACAACTCAGACAAGGAGGGTAAGTTCAGTGCTGGTCTTTCACAATAAGCACTGGGCAAAACAGCAGCACAACTTGTGTTCACACACTCAGCCCCTGCTTGCATCGCAGATCGAGTTAGAGTAAGGGCTTCTTTCAGCAAGACCTTGCTGAAGTCACTGCGTGTTACGCTAAGGAGAAAGCTGCTTAAACAGCCAGTATATATATGTACATTAGCATGATGAATACCCCTGTCAATGCTGAGTTGGGGACCCGTCTGCCTGGAAGACACCAGCAGGTCTTTTTGTCAAAGCCAAAGCAGTCCAGGAAAGTGGACAGGCTTCTTGCCAGGGCTAGGGATAATTCCAGGAAAAGCAGCCCAAAGATGCAGACTGCTTTCCCCACGCTGCTGCGCGGGGAGCCGCCCAGAGCCCCCCTGCTCACTCACATATTGATTCCTCAGCTCTGAAATGATGAGACGCAGACTGATGTACTCCTTCTCATCGATCTCCGTCACGGTGCGGCGGTAATCCTCCTGCGGAGAGCACGCGCACAGCTGAGCGGCCCGAGCCCAGCTGCACCTACACCCACCGAGGGGAGCTGGTACAACTTGGACCAAAGAACCCCTGCTTCAGCTTCCTCCCTTCTAACACAGACATCCTGCACCCCTGTATGATCCCCTCCTCCCACAGGATCCCCAAAGCTTAGAAAGGACAGGGATGAAGTAGCCCAAGGAGTCCCAGAAAGCAGCAGCGCACGACGTGTAAAGTTCCGTTTCCCTGTTTACTCACCACATGAGGGTACTTAGCTATTTTGGAAACCAACTTTGCTCTTGTGATATAATATCTGGAAGAAGAAAGGTGAGACTAAAGGTCAGATAAATAGCAGCAAGATTTCTTTCAAGCCCATCCTGACCTAGAAAAAACACCTAAGGGACCATTCCCAAGCAGGTTACTTCTCCCAAGAGGTCCCAAGACGGATTCTGCTCTTTCACACCTACCTAGAAATCTGGTCCAGGTAGGATGCAGCCTCGCTCTCCACGGTTCGAAGCTCAGCCACCGTTTCCTCCTGCAAGGAAACCAAGGAGAATGGAGTTGGCCTTGAGGGCTCTAGGACTGATGGCCCTTGGGAGCACCATTTCAAGCTCAGATTTGGATTTTAAAACCTAAACCATCCCCGTGACTATAGCCCCTGGATACAGTCAAGTGGAAGGTTCAGAGGAACCAAAGAAACCCACGTTTCTGGAATGCAGCTCTCCCCTCTAGCACAGGGCCTTACCTGAATAGAAACACCAAAGTTGTTTCCATCTTCTATCCTGGGGATGAGAAGTTGCACCCACATTTTGACCTACAGCAGAAGGGAGGACGAGGGCACAAAAATCACAACACTGAGCCACGCTAATGTCCAGAGGTAGCTGTCTTAGAAGCAGTATGAAAAGCCTTCTAAAATCCTGTCTGTGTCATGCGGCTCATGATAAACTCCCAAAGGTCCTTCCCACTTGTGCAAAGCTTCCAAGGAAATTTTGTCTCCCCTGTGGCTGGGAAGCCACGACAGAAACACAGCTCCTCATGAGCTCCTCTCTTGAGCACAGCAAATGAACTCCCAGCAGGTGCCCGTGATCCTGTGCAAAATGAGGGTGATGAAAGGCCTTGAGGAAGGAGCCTGCATAACCAACGTCCTCCTCCCACATGAGCTGAACTACAGAATCCCCAGAGGCCTCACCAAAAACATCATTTCCCTCCACTGACTTTCCAGGCACGTTTAGAAACTGGAATAAACATCCCACATCTCTGCTTTACAGAATACAGAGGGACCTGCTCCCTCCGCTCGATAAAGCCCTGCCTCTCAGGGAGCAAAAGGTCTCTCCTGCCTCCCCTTGCCCCAGCACTGAGGGCTGCAGCCCGACCCACCGTGTTACACTTCTCGATGAGCAGCCTGATCTCCGGTTTCACCTTCTCAATGATGTCCACCAGCTGCTGGTTGCTCTTCAGCATCCCGTTGGGCATCACAAACACTTTGGTACCTGGCAGCAGAGGAGACAAATACCTGCAGGAGCAGCACGCAGGAGCAGCTGCAGATCAGAGCAAGGGTCACCTGAGCATCTTATTGCAACAGCTAGAACAGGCACCGAGCCAGGGTACAGCTAACCTGCAGGAGAGGGGAAACTCAACGTGGGATCATGGTCACTACCACGAAAGAAAGAGGAGAGAGATGACAAAACTGAGACAAGAGCTAGAGATCTCCAGGCTGCTGCGGCTGCTCACAAAGGATTTCCCTGATGCA